ATGAGCCAGATCTGTGTTTGAATCCCAGATTAGAAACTCTGTTGGATCCAGGAAGAGCATTCATTTTCACCTTTTGGAAAAACAGCTCCTCTTAGCCCCCCTGCATTCTGTCAACAGGAGTTAGTATTTTTGATTGGGCTCAATTTTTGAATTCTTGACATTTTGTTTATACTGGAAAAACACGATTTTGTGGAACACAGACACAACCTTAATCACACTTGCATGTTCATTTAATTCTCAAAGAAGTCCTGTGGTTTGAATTGATCCCTAGAAATTCCCTTTGCTGGAGACTTAATCTGAAGTGACTGATAAAAGGTTATTAGGTCAGAAGGGCACTGCCTTCATGATGGATGAATGTTCTTATCATTATTGCAGCAGTAGATTGTAGTAAGTTCTGCCCTCTATTTTTACCTTGTGGGGCTAGAAATTGAACCCAGGTCCTTTCACATGCTTGGTAGGCAGGCGCTCTACCAACTGACCCAGCCTCAGTCCAGTTCTGCTTCTGTTATTCTTGCTCCCTTTTGCACCTTTTACCTTCTGCCACAGGATGACCTAGTACAAAGGCCCTCCCTCTCCAAATACAGGAGCATTGCTCTTGGTCTTCCCAGTCTCCAAAACTGTGAGCCAAATAACTTTCAGTTCACTATACATTTTCTAGTCTCAGGCATTCTGTTATAGCAGCAGCAAACAGACTAAGGGAGGAAGGCATTGTTTTTAAAACAAAATAAACCATTTATGGGTAAGATATCTGTTTTACTGAGACCTAGTTTTTACAAAAAAAAAATGGTTCACTCCTAAAGAAATGGTAAAATAAAAATCACCATCATCAGGGCACAACTTATTTAGAAATTTAGCCTCAAATTCACTGGAGACCAACTGGATCATCCAGTCTGACCTAATTTCTTGACCCTGGTTCCCTCTTGCTTTCTTGTCATACTGGAAAACTGAGTATAAATTCAAGTAGAAAAAAGAAACAAAGAAAAGAAATCCACCCAGGAGCTGTTAAACATGTATCTATGCAGTAAATCTATGTACCACTGTGTAATTATAATAACATAAACAACTCCACTATAAGGACATTCACATCAGACCTAATTTCAGACTGAACTATTATAATGCAATTAACAGGCTCATAGTCCTGTTTTAATTAAGCTCTGTTGTGAAATATGCAGCATTTGAACCTGTTTCGGCCTGCTCTGTCTGCCATTGAATCACCATCCTCAACTTGTTTTTCTGCCCAACAATGAATTTCATTTAATAATTACTGTTCAAAGGGACTGGCATTTTGTGAATTCCTTTAAGTTTCTGTGCCTCCAGATTGAGGCCAACTTTAGCTCTTCCGATGTGTCCTATATGTGTGTAGTCTCTTGATTCGGTTGTCTCAATAGATTTATTAACTCACGCTGGGCTCTCCTAGAAACGAAGAGATATATTTGATTGGTTGAGTGCAAGAAATTTCAGATGACAGGAGAGAGACTTGTGGGGCTAACTTCAGATTATGTAGGACACAGTAGCTGTCTCCAACCCAGCCCTTTGCAGAAATACCAAGGGATCTCCAATTTTCCATGGCTATTATTTAGTTTGCCAAATAGTTTAACCATTACTCACTAGAGAATGGAAAACAAAAGCACTTACAGAAAATGCAGTTTATAGAAAAATCATATCCTTCTTTCTTCTTTTTATCCCTCACCTACCCTGGGCAAGAATGTCTAAGGCTGGCTGGGATTTGCCTTAACAGATCTTTCCCGTCCTCTATTTGGATTGTCTTCATGACCTTAAATAATATTAAGTGAGCACTATTACATGGGAATGCTTGGCTTGGTGATCAAATGTCACAGGTCAGCATGCTGAGCCGCTTATTCCTCGATGGCTAGTTTTCAGGACACAGATTTAAAAGTGGAGAGAACAGAGTTGCAGAGAATCGTGCTCAACATCACAGATGGCTCAGAAGTAAGCCACATGACCTAAGAAAACAAGGACAGTGATTTCTTCATCCCTCCCCACCTCCGTTTCCACCCTCTGATCAGCTGCCCTTGAGATTTGGTCCCTGTTATAAAACATCCATGTTCTTCTCCTTCTTTTTCCTTTTCCTTTTTACCTTGTCCTACTTTCTTAACCCCAGGGAGGATTTGAAGAAGGTTTTAAAGCTAAGCATCCCCAATTGCTTGAGGCTGTGTTTGGTGGAAAGTCAGAACGGGAAGCAAGTTACCCGTAGGGTAGGGTGTTTTCATGGCCACAGTGAAAGCCCTCAGAACAACAGCAGGTAACTGAAAAGGTTCTTTCTCCCTGTGTGAACATCTGGCTCAGCTCCTTCAACCACTTCTACGGAGGTTTCATGAGTTACTCACCCCCTCTCCTGTGGCTCTCTCTCTTCCTTTCCAGAAGGAGGCATGTTCTCAAACAGCAGTGGAACCTTAACTCGTGGGCACACCTTACCGCTAGGTGTTCTGAGTGTCCTGATTATCTTAAGCACTGGCTACTAGAAATTCTGGAAAGGACCACGGATGCTTTAGCACTAGACCTTCATGGCTTAAAATGTCTTTCTTAGTTAACCTTCACAGAACCTTGGGAACACCCATAAGAAGTTAGTAGAATTGAATGTCCTCACTACTTGGACTGTCGCCTCTATTTCAGCCAAGTTTTCACCCGGACCCAATAAGCTTCTACGTTGTCATTTTTACTTGACACATTATAATTCTACATCTTTACGGGGTACAGTGTGATGTTTTGATACATGCATACAATGTGTCATACTCAAGGTAGTTAGCATGTCTGTCACCTCCTTTACCGTTCATTTCTTTGTGGTGAGAACATTCAAAATCCTCCCTTTAGCTATTTTGAGATATTTAAGGCGATATTGTTGACCATAGTCACTCTACAATGCAATAGAACACTAGAACTTGATCCTCCTGTCTGACCATGGCTTTGTACCTATTGATCAGTCTCTCCCTATCATTTCCTCCACAGCTTCTGGTAACTACTCGCTACTTTTCTGAGATCAGCTTTTTAGATCCCGGGTATGAGTGGGACGATGCTGTATCTTTCTGTGGCTGGATTATTTCACTTAACATAACATCCTCTAGGTTCATCCAGGTTGCTTCGAATGACAGAATCTTATCGTTTTTATGGGTCCTTAGTCGGCTTTTTCTCTTCTGTGATCAAAATATCCGATAAGAACAATTCAGAGAAGGAAAAGTTTATTTTGAGATTATGGTTTCCAAGATTCAGTCCAAGGTCAACCAGCTCCAGGGTGAGGCTCAAGGTGAGGCAGGACATCATGGCAGATGGGCGTGGAGGAAAGAACGGCTCAGCTCACGGGGGACGGGAAACAGAGAGAAAGAAAGATGGGCTATTCCAAAGAGGCACCCTTCCAAGACACACATCTACCTCCTCCAGCCACATGCCACATGCACACAGTTAGTGTACAGCTCTCATGATCTTATCATCCCACCTCTCAATGTTTCTGCATTAACACAGGAGCTTTTGGGGGGGCACCTCATATCCAAACCATAACACGACCAGATAGTATTCGATTATATACATGTACCCCATTTTCTTTGTTCATTCATCCATTGATGGACACTTACATTAATTCCTTATCTTTCTTTTTTCCTTGAGACCCAATTCAAACCTCACTTTGGCAAGTTTGCTTCTGCACATTTGTCACTATCAAACTGACCTGAAGTTAAATGTGGGTCAATGTCTTACCGGGAATTCCTGCTACATTGTTAGTCTCTGGACCTGTTTATATTGTCTCAGAATCATATCTGTCAAAGGATTCTCTGTTTTTAATCATATGAGATGTCCCTCTTTTATGTTCTTCAAATTCTTTCAGGACATTCTCAACTTCTTTTTCTGTCCGTCCAGATTTTAATCAGGCCTTTGAATTTCCAAAAGAAAAGTCACTAACTGGAATCTTCAGAGCTTATTGTTAATAATAGACTTGACTTGAATTTAATAGTGATTAGCCAGAATTTTCTTTTATGTTATTAAATCCATATTTCTGATGATTTAAAGTATTTGTAAGCCATATTAAGAGGAGTTAACTTTGAAATAAACACACATTTGACATGGACTTTCTGGAACAATAGATAAATGCTTTCTGTTGTAGAAAGAGCCAATGAGGAAAGAATTCCTTCAAAGCTTTTCTCTATTTCTGAAACTAGGGGTACCTGTGAATATGGTAATGGAAAATTTTAGAAAGCTTCTATATAACTCAGAAATTACAGAAAAGATGACCAAAGTATCTGAAGACCAGAAGTTTGTCAGCCAGGAACAAATTTTAGAGGGGTATAGTCTAATCTCCATCCCCAATATTTTAAACATGTAATAGGAAAGTGTCTTTCAACTCATTCATAATTCAATTAACATTACTGAAGGCCCCACAGGGTACTTCATATTAGACAATGAAATCGTTACCTGAGAAAACCTACTGGAGAATAAAGTCCAATAAGTACGAAAGTCAGAATTGCCACAAAGCAAAACTAGTAAATACATACAGCATACAAAAGTCCTGGCTGTGCACCTCAGTACAATGGATCTCTAATGCATCCTGTGCCCTGTCTTAGTGATGTCAGAAACTTAGAATCCAGCACAGTACAAGTAAGTTAAAAAGAGCAAAGAGTTCTTTTGGATGAGAAATCACAAACACCCATTCATAAAACCACCCGTAAGCATTTTTGTTAATCAACACTGTCATTGTTACAGCCTGCTTGATCTTCCTACTTTGGGTTAATATGGGAGCCAATTACAGCTTCATCTGTGTAGAATTAACTTTATGGAGCACACACCGGGGATTTGTCTATCTTCACTATTTAGATATATGCCATAAAAATATGCATGGAATTGAGTGCAAGTACTGCAGATGGCAGAGACTTTCAGATTTATTGTAAAATCATTTAAAATCGGTTATGCTCTTGCCAGAAGTTAATTAATTTTTTTTTTCTGTTTCTTTCTGGGGCTGGGGGACTGGGGTGGGGGGGGGCTTTGGTTCTCACTAGGTGGCAGTGTATGATTACATCTGGAAAAGCCATGGCATCAAGTCCAGTGTCTCCAGCTGTGACCTCCAACATCAGAATGAAATCTCTGGGTCTGCACTTGGTCCAGAAGAGGTTACTTCTCATGTGTCTATATACAGTGTTTATCCCAGTGGGTTCCAAGAGCTGTACCGCCATTTTCTCAGGCTCCCCGGTGGTGCCATTGTTGAGGTATGTGTATTTGAAAATATTTTGCTGTAAATGCTGTGTGTATTGTAGTGCATGGATATATAGATAAGTATAGGCATAATATGAGTGTGATTTCAAAGGTTCCAATGTTACTTTGCAGACATATTATAACTAATGTTTCTAATGTGGTAGGGGGCTTGAGGATGTGTTTCAGTTTTTGCCTAAGTACACAAAGATAATACATTGGGGGGGGGAGTTTCTGTTTGAAACTTCAGAATTCTGCCTGTGATAACTTCTACTCAGGTTACATTAGTAAACATCACAGGTTGATAAGAAAGAGAGTTCTGTGTTGTGGACACGGGCATGCCTCGGGAAGTGCACACTCCTTTGCTTAAATGAGCTCACACAAAGTGAATGAAGTGGTGGCATCTTATCCTCCTTCCCCCCCACCCCGAAAAATCTTTCAAGCTATAGAAACATACATAGTCTATAAATATTTAAAAATATTTTAAAAGGAGCATTATCTCAGAGTCAAGTTTCCTCCTAAGAAAGTCCATCAGCAGACGGGCTGATTTTGAGTTTCAAAAGAAATTTCATATGACAACATATTCTGAGTATCTAAATTTACAGCCTATTGAAATCTGAAGCTCTGTCCCATTCTTTTAAGTGCTGTTCAATCATGAAGTCTGAGGAAGTGTTATAATTTGGTGGAAATGAACAATACAGGAGAAAAAAAAACCTGAAGATACACAGCACATTTGGTTCTCTGATCTCTGTGGCATGCAAATTACTAAAAAGTGACATAATACTAGTTAACGGCATTGGAAGGATATTTCTGTTCCCACCGCTATCCCTTTGAACTTTAGCCTTTTGTGTTGTTTGTTGTTGTTGTGAAGTCAATGGAAGTGTGTCCTCATAAAAATCCCTTTCAACATAACCTTGAGGAAATTTCAAATTGTTCAGAGTCCAGTCTTGCAGACAGGGGACTTCTCCTTTCTACTATACCAGTGTTCAACAGTATTTGAACACTTAAATCATCATATAGGCATTTTAAAAGGCACAGGTGAGCCAGAAAAGATTCCCCTGAGCTCGTCCTCCTCGCACTCCTACCAAGGTACACTATAAGAAAGAACTGCACATATCACAACACAGCAATAGGTAAGCAGGTGAAGATTGTATCGAATGTCATTCTTTGGGAGTTTGGCTGCTATTGGCACTTCTGCACAGGATTCTTCTTAGACTTCTGAAACATTTGCTTTCGAAACCTTTTTGCAGAACAAACTGCTGGGATGAACTTTTTTTACAAAATTTGCAAAATGTGCTTAAATATGTGTGCACTGAAATAACACAAAAAGCAGAGACTCCAGCATTGTCTTTCTGCTACAAATCATCCTGCAGTTCCTGCAGTCCCGGAGCCCCAGCAGAGAGCCCAGGTGGAAGGTATCCTGGTGTCAAGAGCACAGTGACCACCAGGGCCCTTTGATTCATTCTTTCATTTGCCCCATAACCTTGGCTTAGTCATTTCTCACTACTCTGCCTATTTCCTTATCTGTAAAACTGGGTTATGAATACTTATACTACCTGGCTCACAGGGATTTGGGACAGATTAATGAGATAACATTTGCAAGTACTTTTAGCTCTTTTTTTTTTAAAGGTGCAATAAAGATCACAAAATATTATAGATCACAAACAATTAGATTCACTCTACTTCTAAACATCTTTTCAAGTGCTCATAATGACATTATGCCAAAAATATACTAGCTTCACTTTTGGAAGAATTCAGAGGTGGGACTACAGGCTTATCGACATACTTGATTCTTTTATTACCTTTGATTTCCACAGTGTTGTCTATTATAACAGTAAGTGGTGGACCTGGGCGTTGGTAGGATCCTGTGACCAGCTGAAATTCCACCAAATACTAAACCCGCTTTCTCCCTTTTCCAAATTTCAGCAGATGAATGCGGTCTAGCCCATTCTTGGGTATGCAGTTTATAGCTACCCGTTTATTTCTTCATGCTTGACTCTATCTGCCTCTTGTTCTATGAAATCTTTAAAATTGTTCTGAACTGAATTATCCCCTTGCCCCTTCTCTCCACTTATAGAGAGTACTAGATTTTATTCTTTAGCCTTTCTACACTTGTTTCCAGTATTAAATTGTGTCCTGTAGAGGACAGGAACCATAAAGCAAGACCTGTCCTAGAGAAAATTGAGGATTACACAGTTCATTTGCAGGCACCTGTATGGCTATTCACCCACCTTCCTTCCTATCCCTCCTGACCCCTAACAGACACTGCCAGGTCTATTATTGGCCTTTTGAGCTATAAAACCTGAATTGGAAGGGATTCTGGCATATTTTTTTTTTGAGATCTCAGTGAAAAGAAGTCCACATATAATCTTTCCCTATATATATGCATTGGAAAGAAATTTCAAATATCAGCATATAGGTAGATTTATATTTTCTGGATGAAAGAAAAAAATCCCTTAAAGTTTTAAAAATAATGGCTTATGAGCTGTCACCTTCTCGCTTTAAAGTTAACGTCAATCCTTGAATTCTTTTTCTTTATCTTTGTATTAAATACAGACTCGATGCTCAAGAAAATTTATCCAAATTGTACTGGATTTTTTTATTCCAAATTATGCTACATGATTGGTAATTAGGCACCATGAGATTCTTACCATCTCACAATACTCACACCGTATTACGTGAAAGAACCTGAATTTAGGATATAACTTAGACCCGATTAGAGATATAATAAGATCCATGCCACATTTTGGTCAGATATTCTGGTGTGGGAAGAAACAAGCAACTGTGTCTGGGTCTAATTTATTTACAAATCAGATATAGCAAGAAATAAGCAACAAAACTTCATTCCTAGAACCTAACCCTATTCTCAAAGATTTTATGGTGGTTTTTACACATGGTATCCAGTAATTTAAGTTCGTTTTGCATGAACACAGCTCTAACTTACAACTCAAAGCAATTTCTAAGCCTCTCCCATTTCTGGCATGAAATATAGGTCAAATATTAACCTTTTTGCTTTTTTCTTCTCCACAAGATCCTAACTTTTTGAATTGGAAGCAAATATATAAGTTTTTATTTGCATGGAAAGCTACACTTCTGGAAAAGAATTAATTCTGCTCAAAAGATATCATATGTCATGAGTCTGCAATGAAAGTTCGATTGCAAAGAGAATTCCCCATAGATACGCATTCATAATCTTTTGTATGCCCCACCTTATGACCTAAAGCAACACAGCTCTTATGGTCTTCCACATATTTTGCTTTTAAAGAAAAATTCCCCTCTCTTGCTTGTCAGAGCTGGTCATTTGTTCAAGTGCAGGGAGCCCTTCTCCTGATTCTCTACTAAGTCAGTCCCTCTGGGCGCCATGGATTCCATGGAGTCTACACAGAGGAACTGTGTGGTCTCTTTGTTGCATGGCTAAGGTTATCCTGCAGTGTTCACTAAGGACAAAGTTACTGTAAAGTTTTTAGAGCTACAAAACCTAGAAACCCAGGCAAGACTGGTGCACTTTCATCAAGTTACAAATAAGCTTCTGGATCCCAGGGTATCAGTCGCAATTAAGAAAGTCCTTGGAGCATTAGTTGGGGTGGAATGGGAAAACGGGCTTTTTTTTTTTTTTTTTTGTCATTAGAGGCAGTGTCGCCTGGTGGTCTGAGCAGGGAACTGGGAGCCAGGAACTCAGCGATCTAAGGAGGCTCTGTGAAGCCCTTGTGCGCGGCTTTAGGCAAGCAGTGAGGTCTCAGGAGGCCAACCTCACCTACTTTGAAGCTCCCATCTGAAGAGCTCCTTACCCAGGGCCAGGGGAGGCACAGCAGGAGGCCTGATTCCTTGTCTGCAAAATTAGAATATTAATACTTGCCTCAATAACAGATTAACCAATTAGTGATTAAGTGTTCTGCCTGATGGAAAGCAGCAGGAGAAGAGAGGAGACAAGGAAAAACTGAGACACAATTTTATTATTAGATGGGTCTGACTCCACTCTGGGTTTTTATCTGCTGCACAGGGAATCCAGGGCCTTCAAGGTGCCAAGAGCAGGTGTGCAGAGACTGGCCCTCAGATTTTATTCCCCTCAGTGTGAAGACAGACGATGGAGCTGAACATCCCTCAGGTCCACAGGAAGCTTTCAGTAAATGGGGAGGAGACACACTTTGTCCTTGAATCAATGAATTAATTGCAGGACAAAACTTTAAACAAATAATTGAGAGATTTTTCTGCCTTAGCTAGTCTGTTTTAATTTGTTATTTAGCCTATTTGGAAATTTTCATATCCATATTCTACAAAAAACAAACAATTTGCAGTGTGCGTGCGTGTGTGTGTGTGTGTGTGTGAGAGAGAGAGAGAGAGAGAGAGAGAGAGAAATGCATAATAATGTGGAAGATGAATCAATAAGAAAATATGGAACCGTGGAGCCTATAAACCACATTCATTAAATTAATACAAATTATTGATATTATCATACTTTTTCAGAGATAAAACTACCCCATCATTTTTTTCCCCTTTTGTTGAAAGTCTGGCACATGAGAGGAAAGCCATTCTCATTTCCTATTGTGCATAGACTTAGACTGCTCTGAAGATAACATGAAAATTAATTCACTTAAACAAAATGGAAGACAGTCACAGTTTCATTGTCCAGACGTTTAAGACATTTGACATGGTGTGCCCAACACCCGCGTAAGAAGTAGTATATCCTTTGGGCACATAGTGCTTCATAAGACAAAATTAAAAATAAACATTAAAAGGAAATAGTAATAGCAATGCTAATGGCTTTGCATAAAATAATGCTCAAAAGACACTCATATCTCTTACTTCTGGATTCCAAATTCAAACTTAATAGTTGCCACTTCTGTTGATTGTTTAAAAATAAGATCCTGGTACTATTTTGGCCTTTCCTTTCACTAAGAATAATTGTCTATTTAAACTAAGCTGTAGAGGGTATAATTTTGTTATATCTAAAACTCAGACCTTATTATGAGCAAATATTTTTTTTAAAGAAGAATGCAAGAGCTAAGTGAAATTCAAT